ACCAACCTAGAGCTGTACCCTCCCCCCAAAAAAAGTAACACTTTTAAATTAGCAAAAAAAAAAAAAAAAGAATGTGTGGGGGTAAAAGTAAATGCAATCACATTTTATCGTGTTGCCAAGCCTCCTACAGCTCATTCGGATGTGCTGACATCAGGTAGTGAAGGTGGGAGGCCGCCTTCAAGGCAGAATGGGAAGGAAGCATCAGCCTGATCCCCTGGTCCGTCTAAAAACCTCAGAATCTGCTGTAGCACCCGTGCCACAAAGCCCTAGTGACACAGGCACGCACGAGGGCAAAGGAGTCGCACCCTCAGCCAAGTCAACATCGTAAGTATTGGGGAGTTTTTTTAATCCATCCCTGTAGGCTCAGAAACACCCAAGAGCTTTCTTAAGTTTATGCAAATGTGCATAGTCCCCTCTTGTCTCAGAAAATGTCTATTTCGGGATCATTCTTGTCTTCGCCTGAGGACATGCGCATCCATTGTGGTTATTTTCCCATCCCTCAAGTACAACTCCACTGGCAAACGACCACTGATGAGCTAAACCCCATCTGACTTTCATCAGATGTGCTCTTTGCCATAAAAAGAAAATCCAAGTTGAACTTTTACGGGGTCAGCACTGATAACGTCTTGGCAGGTGCTGCCTCGTGTACGTGAAAAATAATAGAGGTGCAATGTCTAGAAAATAGCTAGCTTTTACAGCTGCTGTGAGTTTTACAGAGGAGCGAGTGTGAGAAGCCAGCCCCGGGGCCATCTCAGCATCTCATCAGCTATAAATAGGAGACCCTGGACAGCGCAGCTGCTTGAAACATACCGAGAATCACAGTCTGGGAAGAATGAGTCGGAATGTGGGCTTTCTGCACACCTGACCATATGGAAAGTGAGTTAATTTGACTCTAATTGCATTCCAGTCAAATGAGAGATTGTTGTGGCCAGTGTGAAAAGCCAGAACCTTAGTCTGGGCTCAGCAAAGCTATTGATTTATTGCAAACCTTCACGACGAAGAGGGAAAGTAATCTGATGCCAGAACCTGAGCCATCCTTTGGTTTCTGTAGGGGCAGTAGACAGCTGCCTTCGCGGTCTAATTTGATGAGCATTGCAGCCTGCCACAGTGCTTGAAATTTCCACCTTCAGGGATCCTACATTTTGTTCAGATACCGTATCTCCCTGGATTCCAAAACTCTTCTCTGCAATATCCTGGGGTGGATATTTCCGGGCGCGGGAGTTCACTACGATATAAGACACTCATTTTCTTCTCTATGTTGAACTGAAGCCCTTCCTGCGTCTTTCATTCATTCATTCTAATCTTGCCCCTCGAGTGCCATAGAAGAAATCTTTTATGCTTTCCCCGTGATGGTCCTTCAAGTCTCCTCTAAGCCTTCTTGTCTCTGACTCCAAGCCTTGAGCTTCTTCAACTAGTTCTAAATGACGTGATTTCCAGAGTCATCCTCACCTGAACCAGTTCTCTCTGGACCTGATCCTTAAAATAGGAAACCCAGACAGCAGGCACAGTCCTCCAGAGTCATCAGACCAGCGCAAACTACAGCAGAGCTGCGGCTGCCGTCCCTCATGTGTTTGCTTGATTTCTCTCAGTGCATTCTGAGGTCCTGTCAGTGCTGGGGTAACTCCCCTGTGAGCTCTCACACAGTTCTCAGTACCTGAAAAGCTCTCCTGTTCCTTCACGAGAAGCCAGGTCTCCCCTGACCTAAGCTTACAGATGTATAACATGTGCTTATAATAGACACTATTCATCACCATCAAACTTCCTTCCCTATGTTCTGCCAACATCCCTTTGAGTCCTGATTCTTCTGTTCAGGGTGTCAGTGCTCCCCTCCTGCCTCACGGCATCAGTTAAGTGATAGGAATACCTTTGGTTTCCTGATGAGAGTTGACAATAAAAATGGGGAACCCAAACAGAGGCATTAGAGGTGACTTGCAGGTGAAGAGCAGGCCGCCTTCGAGCACAGAGGCGGAGAGCCAGGTGCGACTACACCTGCTGTCCTGTCACCTGCTCTCCGTCTCCGTATCTCACTCACACAAGGTACCAGGAGGGAGTTTTTCAGGTTCTCTGCTGAATCCGAGTATGGGACACAAAGGTTTGGCTTCTCTCCTTAGCCTCTCCATCTCTCTGGCTTGGACTTTCTCAGAGCTTTCTTGCTTTTCTCATTGGACAAGTGAACAGATGTTACTCCCTGGCATTTCCAGAGGAGGGGCAGGCCTGCCATGCTGCCCCCGCCCCCGGAGCAGGTCCTCCTTTGTGCGTCATTGGAACGTGGCTGGAAGGGCTGTTCTGGCTGGCGGACTTTGTGAGCCCTCAGCTTGTTCTGGGTCTTCCTGACATTTCTCCTGCCAGGCTTTGCCACTTGGGCCGTCCTTCTTGGACTGGGAACTCCCTGCCTTCCCTTGTTCCCTTTGGAAACGTGGGCTTCTCAGAGAATTCACCAGCCATGCAGCCACCCCACTGTTTTTGGCTGTGTCACTCGCCCTGGGGTTGTGTCACCTCCTGGGGAGCTTTTCTGATCAAACCCACCCCTGACTTAGGCAGGAGGGGCCCAACCCTGGGCCTCAGTGGGTGAAGAGTTAGCTTTACCTAAAGAGAGGTGTGGTGTTCGCCTCGGCTCCTGGGAGTTGATCTCTGGGCCCGTGGAATGTCCTGCCTAGTAAGAGGGTGGTTGTTTGCCGGGAAGTCTTGGCCTCTGCACACCATGGCATGATGAGTTATGATGGAGACTTGGGACACACTACATCAGTTCTAACCTCCAGGGGTATAATCTTGAGACTCCAAGAGGGGCTGGAGGTCAGAGGTCAGCCCCACGGGCAGTTCATGATGGAGACTCAATCAAAACCATGCACCCCAGAGGCTGCCCTGCTTGGCAGTGCCCTGTGCGTAAGGTCACGGGCGGGAGAAGGTAATGCCGACCACGAGACCCTGGGAAGAGGGAGGTGATGGAACAGAGCCTAGGAGCCAGGACCAGCTCCCCACAAATCACCAAGTTCCAAAGTCCAGTTCCAAAGTGTTGAGAATTCTGAATTTGAACCTGGCCTTTGAGATGGTTATGAAGGCCTTTTTTTTTTTTTTTTTGGTTTTTTTCCTCCAAAGCAGCAAGACAGAACATATTTTCTTTAAGGTAACAGGTTGTTAGCCTGATTTATTGCCTTTAAGTATCTAGGCAGATGGTGTGCATGCCTGTGTGTTCTTGCCCCAGGCTCTGAAGCATTCGGAGCCAGTCTGTTGCTAATTGTCAGAATTTCACTTTTCTTGACGGTACTCTTAAGAGAGGTTGCTGAAGGTTAGCAAAGCATCACATCTAAATTTTCTCAGAACATCTTGAAATGTACATAGCAGGATGCTAACGTGGAATTTCATTTGTTTCATTTTCTGCTGCGATGCCCAATGGCTGAGAAAAAAATCAAACCATAAGTGCTGAGTGTCCCCACCTTCCAAAGTGAAGTGTGAGACCACCGCTCCGGGTACCTGCGGCTGCATAACCAGGGTCACCAAAACTCAGAGGAGTAAGAAACCATTTTCTTTTCCCTCAAAATTCGGGGTCAGGAATTCATATAGGGCATCGAGGGACTGGCCACTAGTATTTGGAGGGCCCAGCATGTGCGAGGAGAGGCAGGGAGGGGGCGGGACTGGCTGAGATGGCCTGACTGGGGCCATGGGACAGGGGCTTTGATTCTCCTGTCAGCTTGGCTCCTCCGGTCTCCTGGTGTGCCCTCTCCGCATGGCAGGCTGGGGCATCCTCGGAGCACGGTGGGCCTGGCCACGGGCCTTCTCACAAGTCTGCTAAATTCCCCCAGAAAGAAAGTGGAAGAGGCCGGGAAAGGCAAGACACAGCATCACTTCCACCACGCTCGGTGGGGCAAGGCGCATCCCAGGGCCAGGCCGGGTTGGAAGGGGCGGGACAGGAATAGAGTCCACCTTCCTGAGGAGTCCGAGCAGGACACAGGGACAGGGAGCGAAGGAAGCGGTGGAGATGATAACCTCCATCCTCGACCTGTGCAGACCTTTCAAAGGAAGGGACGGAAGGTTTTTTTCCAATCCTTAGCTCTTTACCAGCCGAGGGTTTCAAATGTTCACAGTTAGAAATTAGAAAGCAAATTTAAGAGTTGCCAGGAGGCCGAGGCACTTTCCTTCCCCTGTTGCTCCTTTACCTCCAGCCTAGTGGGAGGGGCTTCAGGGAAGCCCCCTGATCCGATTCACTTTCTGGGTGTTGCCTTCAGTGCTCCGCCAAGGTAAAAACGCCTGGTGTCGGGTGGGGTCTCCATAGCCTGCATGGAGAGCTACCCGTGAATCAGAGGAGCCCAGAGCTGTGTGCCTGAGCCTCGGATAGTATTGAGGAGGGGAGCGGGGCGCTCCCTGAACACTCAGGCAGGGCCTTCTTTGTGTGACATCCATTTCCAGCCGGGGCTCAGTTCTATGCTGTGCTCTTATTTCTTGGTGCACGGCTGGGCCTGCAAGAAATGGTGGTGCAAAAGGCCAGGCCATGACCTCGCATGAGTGGGTCCAGCTCATTTTATGAGGGGAGTTGCAGAGAGCCAGGGGCTGGCTCTGGGCACAGTCACGCCCACGGGCCATAGGAGTGACTGTGCATTGTGCTTTCTCGGAAGGAGACAGCCCTGATTGGTGGCTGGTCCTGCCCGGCGTCAAGGAGCCCGGGACCCATGAACTGAGCCGGCATGGATGCATGTGCCTCCGGGTCTGTGCCAGGTTCTTACATGACACTTATACTGTAACCCAGCAGGACCCCGTGGGGCCTTCCCAGGACAGACCCCTCCCCCAGATCCTCTGTGGCAGCTCCTCTCTGTAGGACCCACATCATAGTATCTCACACAGATTTCCTGAGTTTCTCAGGTGCTCAAAACCACCACCCAGTGGAAGAAATTAACTACTTGATGATCATGAGCACATGGCCCCCAGACCGTCTGACCTCTGAGGATTGATCACCAGCAACCAGAAAATTATGCACAGCTGAACACAGACCCTGGGCTTCCCCTCCCTCAGGTGGCCTTTAAAAATGCTCAGCTGAAACCTTTTGGGGAGTTCAGGGTTTTAGAGGCATGAGCTGCCCATCCTCCTTGCTCAGCCACCAATAGATCATTCTCTGCTCCAATCTTCAACATTTCAGTGTTTTCTGGCCTCACTGTGCATCAGGTGCACAAACTTGCATTTGGTGACAGTTTGGTGAAATCAGCCTGGGAGTCTGTGCCCGTGGGAGGTCAGCCCGGCCAAGGCTGCACCTTCCTGGGCCCCAGCAGCGGCCGGGGCGCACACCATTCCGAGAACCAGGAGGGACTCTCCCCGACAGGCCACCCCAGCATGAGGCTTTCTGGAGCCAAGAACCATCCGGAGCTGCATCCACACTCGGTGTCACTCATAGGTGAGTGGCTCCAGCTCGCACGGACTGGGAATTCTCTCCATCCTTCTGGGTTCGTTCCCCCTGGGAAGTGAGCTGCTCTGGGCTCATCATGAGCCACTCTGGGTCCGTTCTCTCCCGGAGCTGGGCCCGTCTGTGCGGAGGCCTCCTTCTAGGAGTGGAGGGGGTAGTTTTAGACGCCACCTCCTCTGGCTGTCTGTCTGTGCGACCGCAGCTTGTTTGTTGCTTGTGTTGTCGTGAGCATCACTGTGGGGTGAGCCGCTCCGGCTTGTACAGGATGGAGAATCCACCCACGCCCCTTGGGCTTGTTCCTGCCCGGGAAGTGAGTCATTCTGGCCTCACTGGGAGCCACGCTGGGTCCATACTTTTTTGGGAGTCAGGCCACTCTGTAGGCCTCTGTCTGGCACTGGGAGGAATTTTTGAGGCTCCATCTCATCTGATCTTTGGTTTGTGGGACCGTGTATGTGTGTGTGTGTGTGTGTGTGTGTGTGTGTATCAGTACTTGCACTGGCCGGTTGAGACGTCTTTGGTGAGTACCGGGGCTCACGTGCGATGGCACCAGGGCACCCTCCCTACTGCGCTGGCTTCTCCCCAGGGGGAGTGTTGGTTGGAGTGTTCCCTTTCTAGCCTCGGTCCTTCATTCAGTTTCATCTCTGATGGGGCGGGCACTGGTTGGGAAATTCCCTTTTTGGAGTCTGGGAAACTGTGACCCAGACAGACCGTTTCGAATTGTTGTTTGCTTGGTGTGTGTGGGGGTCTTGGTATCTGAGTCCAAATCCTGTTATCTCTTCCTGGTTTGGCTGAACATGAAGGATGTGAATGTGAGCAAATGACATATATTATTGTCTATTACTGTTATTTCTTTAAACTGAAGTGGATGTTTGGGAACTGGGGGAAAAAATCCCTGAAAATAGCCAAGATGGTTGGGTTTTGTAAAAGCAGAGGAGGAGTTTGCATTCCTCTTTCTGTGCCTTTGAGATGCAGGTGGCCTACCTGGGCTTTCAAGGGAAAAAAAGAAAAGAGGTTTTTTTTAAACTCCAGCATAAAAAAAAATAAAGCCTGTTGTAACATCTTTTCTACCCCTTGCATCCCCAGTGCCCCTTTCTTTTCTGGTGAACTTGCTGTGCCCACAGGTGGCCAGGCGAGCGGCGGCACACGGGCTGGGTGGGCTGGCAGGCACAGACAGGCAGTGGCCTCCAGGTCTGCTGGACGCCAGCCCTTTTGGAGAATGTCACCTGTGTGCCACCAGCCCATCCTCACTTGAGCTCACTGGTCCTGGGCTGACCAGAGGGAGTGAGTTCAGGCTGTGCAGCATTGGCCACAGGGACCTTAGGTTATGGGGGCCGCAGGCCCGGCAGCCAGAGGCCATGGAGCCCCTGGCTTGGAGCTGCTTCTGGGAGTCCGTGTGTGTCATGGTCTGACCCCTGTGGCTGGGGAACAGTCAAGGGCAGCAGAGGGGACAGGAACAAAGGAGCGGAAGGACCACACTCTGCCTAGGTCCAGCCCCACTGCATCTTTCTTCCTCCCGGCTTCCTGACACTGGGAGAGAGGCGTGGCTCCTTAGAGGTCCTGTGAGGCTCAGTGTGCAGGCCAGCTGTGCTGACCTTGCACCTCAGTCCCCAGACCACGCGCTCGCCCTGGCAGGCTGAAGGGAGCAGAGACAAGTCTTCTGAGCGTGGTACTTGGAGCCCCGAGGAGGGAGCTGTGTGTGATACTAACAAGGACCGAGGCCAGGCTTCTCCAGGGCTCGCACCTGCCCTCCCCGCCACCCCTCCTGGACACTCTCTCTCCAGCCCATGATGGCTTTAAACATGGCTCCCAGTTTGTCAACACCCTCCCCCTGAAACTGGGCCAGGTGCTGCCACCTCCACCAACAGTGCATGGCGGGCATGAGGCCAGGTAGCGGGCTTGGGTATAACAAGCCGGCAGCGGGATCCACCTCCCTGGGGCTGCCTGTGAACAAGCCACCTCAGGACATGACCACCTGCTTCCACTGTCCAGCCCCGAGCCTTTGAGTCACCTCACCAGTTGAATCAGCCCCGGCTGAGGCCCCAGGCACCATGGAGCAGGGACCAGCCAGCCTGCTGGGGTCCGTCCAGGTTCCCCACACCAAAAGCAAGTGACATAACATGGCTGTGTCACAGCATCAGTGATCGATGCCCTGTCTCAGGGCCTGGCCTTAAAGTGGATCAATGCAGAGAGCTTTGCTGATGATGCGGACGGTCAGAGACAAGAATAGGACTAGCCTGTTGACAGGCTCTTGGCAGGACAGGACTCCAGGTGGGACAAGCCCAGGTGACAGCCAGCTTTGCTTGTTTGTTACGGGTTTTGCTTTCATGAGAGTGTTTGTTTCTCCAGTCCTTCCAGGCCCTTCCATGTCCTTCCAGGCTTCTGTGAAGGGGGGCAGCCTGGGAGTATCTTCCCAGCTGGGTTCAGAACGGGGCGCTGGTGGCCGATTCCCACCTGCTGCTGCTGCTTCCTGGAGCTGCCAGGAGATGGGGTTCACAGAGCTTCCTGCCACTGGGAAATGAATTGCTGCCTGTTGTCATTTTTTAAAGGTGCAGGGGGTGGAGGGAGGAAGACAACAACCTGAGGAAATGTACAGGACAGTCCCTGGGTTCACCTCGGAATCCCTTTATGGGAACGACTTTCCAGCTGATTGTTTTTTTCCAGTGGGAGGGAGGATACACCAACACCAGGAGGTGACGGCGCCGGGGAGCCTCCGTTTTGCAGGGTGAATGGACCCTCGGTGCCACGCACAGCCTGCAGGGGGCTCAGACGGAGCCTCCCCTCTCCACATCGCCCTCCCCGACAACAGGGGTTTCACACTTGCCAGTGTGTGTGATTGGCTCCTCGGGACAGGCTGCCGCGTGTGTGTCCTTAGAGTTGGGGTGTCCACACAGCTGTGGAGCAGTGGCCCAGGGTTTGGGCTTTGAGTCTTTGCTTAAGTGCAGTTGATGGTGACTCCAGCTTAGTTAACAGTGAAGGGAACTCACTGGAAGGAACGGGACCCAGAACTTGGTGCCCATCCTACCTGTTAAAGATGATTAAAGAAGACAACGTAGGTGATACAGACAAACTTTATTCAACACTTCATAACACGGACTGTCTCTGTTCTCAAGGGTCCAGAGACCTGCACAAAGGGGCGGAAGCCTGGACCCTTTTATAGGATAAGGAATAGGAACAAGACAGAAAAAAATATAAAATGGGGTGGGAATAAAGAAGGAAGTTTTGGAGAGCCCAGAGTGGGCTTGGCACCTGGAGGCTGCTGACTGGATGTGCTGTGTTTCTGGCTAAAGGGAGCATTTCCAGGGACTCAAAAGTTTCCTAAGTTTCTGTTTGCTGTCATGGTACCCAGGGCACCATCTTGAGATCAGAGATTTATTTCAATAAACGCAAGTACAGTTGATTCTCAGTATCCTCCAGTCTCACGTCTGTGAATTCAATAAACTGCAGATTGAAAATATGTGTGTGGGGGGGGGAAATTCCAGAATATTCCATACTCTACAAGGCTCTGTACCCATGGGAGGTATGACTCCGCCCCTCCTTGAGAAATGTTCCCACAAAGCCGGAATAATATCGAAGGGAACAGACAGAAGGGATTCTCTTTGGGCCAAGAGTGGCCCAACTGGAATAAACCCTCAGGCCCAGAGAAGACTGAACTTGCATGTTATTTATTACTTTCTGGGCCCCTCTTCATGAGGTATTTGTGCCTGAGCCACAGGCTTGATAACACATGCAATAAAAGTGGGGCAAATGCTGATGTAATGTAACAACATGGGAAGATGATGTAACCTGTGTGGTAAACGAGAGTTGCTGTTGAGACACAAATAATCTTTCTATGGTGGTCCTGAGAGGTCTGACGCCAGATGCACAGTAAATACACTCACTTTATGGAAAAGCCTGTCCTTTGAACAGACGGGGAAATGGCCTACGATGTAAAGTTACATGTGTGCCACTCATGTGGGCTTTATTTTGTTCTTTTTGTGTGATTTGTTTAACTCTTCCCTAGTCACTTAAGCAGAAGAGGCCTAGTTAGACATCCTCTAGGTTTGTGGGCCTAGGCTGCGCTAGCGAAGATGGGGCCTCATGCCTGAATCTGGATTGACTCTGAATTGCGTCGTCGCTGAGTGAAGCGTATCGCCTGTATAAGTACAGTGTCCTTTCTTAGACCTGCGACTTTGAAGAGATCTGGAATTTTCTCTCACTGAGCATTGCAGGCCTTTTGTCTTTTGAATTTTGAAAGCAGAATTTAACAGACTTGGGTTCATGCTACCCTCTAGGGAGGCTGAGGCCTGGATGGTCCCCTCCAGCTAAGTGGTCTGCCTGCCCCTTTCTCCCAACTTCCCCGCACAAGGTAACCACGGTCCTGGGGTCTGTGTTCATTAGATGCCTACTTCCTTTTTGTACATTGTTATCTCATCGATAACATGTTCCTGGGAAATATTTTATATTTGTTGTTTTTAACTCTATAAGATTAAACTAGTCAATAGCTATATTCATGATCGTATTCTTTATTCCTTTTTGAACGTCTCAAATAATACATTTTTAAGATGGAAAACAAAGATCAGATTTTTTTTTGAAAATCGTGTTTTAAAATTTTTTTACATGTTTCTGTGATCTGTGAAAGAGGAATGTTGGCTTTGAAAGCTGATGTCCAGGAATATCTGGGGACAGCCTTTATTTTTTTTGCAAGATGGCACCCTGCAGTGGAAATACAGCTCACTGTCAAATCGGGATTTCTCCTGAGGTCATTAGGAAATCTTTCTAAGCCCTCATGGCCGCTGTAGGAAGCAGCAGGTTTAGCATCCACAAAACAGATGATCCAGCATCAGAGAGAGAGAATCCACATCTTTTTTTTTTTTGCTGCTATGCCTCCCCCTCCCCCCGCTCTCCCCCCGCCCCAGTCCTCTCCTGAAGCCAAGCACTTCTGGAAATTAGAAGAGTTCATCCGAGATACGCATTTATGCCCTGGTGGTGGGAACTCAGCATGTTTCTCCTCCAAGGAGAACTCGTGTGTCCCACAAAGACCTCCTCCCACTGGGGATGTGGGTGCCCCAGGTTGTGACTTTCAAGGACTAGGATTTGAAGGTGGGAGGGGAGCATCTGAATACCTGACTCAGGCCTCGGGGAGTTGGGGGCACAGAAGTACTGAGGTTTAAAGAAAAAGGCATTGTGGTCCCCATTCCTCTCCCACATCTCCACAGAGAATTCTGATGACAATAAAAACAAATTAGTAATACTTACTGGCACCCAGAGGGGAGCAAGGCACAGAAGCTGATGTTTTACGGCCTTTCCTCATTCAACCCACAAACTTGTGCACATTGCAGTTCCCAGCTTACAGCTAAGAAGCTAGGACTCGAAAAGGGTCACTCAGTTGCCCAGTCTCACAGTGTGTCAGTGAGGGGCCGGGTTAAGATGTTCACTGGGCTGTAACTGCCTGAAGCCCAGGCTCCTTCCCATACACCTGCTGCCACGTTCTCTCAGAGGTCGCATGGAAGTACCTTAGAATGCACGGGGAGAGAATGCTCACTGCCCGACGGGGACCGCCTTCCGCACGGCTGAACCCGTGGTGAGGGGCAAGCCCATCCTTGCCTTACTCTTAAGAGAATTACTGATTTCAGTGTTTGCCAGTCATCAGGATTCTGCCGGCAGATGAGTGAGGGAGTGGCAAGTAACGAGCTACATGTTTAGCCAAGCCGGGCTCGGAGCTGCTTCCTAGATTGAAAACCCCCCACCATGGCTGGCCGGGTGGCTTCGTGGGACCATCGGCCTGGCCTCAAGTGCAGGCTGTGGGACGAAGACAGCCAGCTCCCTTAACTCGCCCAAAGAGGAGGCCTTCTGACCTTAATCCTGAAGTCAGCAGTTGACGGGCCATGAATCTATCTCTGGCTGGACCTGGAGTGATGCATTCTCTTGCTTAACCGTGTGAGGCAGCAGCTTAGGAGAACTTGCTCCAGAACGTTTTCGGGTTTCAATAGCCCTTGAGCTCTTTATCAAATTCCAGCTTTATCGACGACCTTGGCTACAAGGAAAATGGGATTCTACTTATC